TTTCCATATAACAGGTCGTTGAAAAGATCTTGAGGTCATTAGCAAAATCCTTTAATAGTGTGGTGCGTGCAATAAAACAAGTAAAAGATTTGTCCAACCTATCAATAAAAGAGTTGATTAGATCTCTTCAAGCCTATGGACACTAAATGGAGAAAGATAAAGAAGACGAAAACACGAGTGCAAAAGTGATCCAGACCGAGGAGAAGATGCTTTATTATTAGAATAATAAAGGAAGAGGATGTAGTGGTTAGTCTGGCCTAGGAGGTCGAGGCGGATTTCGTGGCTGAGGTGACGAAAAAGAAGAGGGGGCTTAATAAAATTTGCGAGGAAGAAGACGCGGTCCGAGAGGAGGTCAGGTCAGTCAGCGAACCATCGTCGTCGCTCACCGCCCTCTAGGTTAAATTGAGGAATGGAAGGATTTGAGATTTTAAGATTTTCGAATAGATGAGACAAGTTAGATCGAGGAATTAAAAGATTTGAAATTTTAAAGTTTCACATAGATGGATAAACTTTAAATATTTAGATTTTTTTAATTTTGATTATACTTTTGTATAAATTCAATTATTTTTTATTATTATTTTAATAATAAAAAATTAATATTATTATATTTATTATTAAATTGATATTTTTGAGTTGAAGTAAACTCATACGAAGTTACTAGTGGAATTTACCAACCTTTCACTGGTCTACGTTTCAAATATATCCTTGGTTATCAGTATCATATCAATCACAAAATTAAACCATAATCAATGGGATTACTTCGAGATCGTGAATCTTTCTCACTCAATTTTCTTATTATTCTTAGTACGTGACTTAGATTCAAATTTTGATTTCTCGACGCAATTAAATTTCACTCACCGAATAGATGAAGAAATCTCATCTCCACAAATTTTGCTCCAATTAATCAACGATATTCACAGTTGAACCGATAAAGTTGTGTACAGAAACTGTGCAGTTCCAATTTTACAAATGATTCACGTTTTCAATCTCCAATTCGTACGCTGAAATGAAGCAAATGCACCGAAGCACAATAAATAAATCACATTAACTGATTTAAACAGAAATACTACCTGCACCACAAATCTTAAGGAAAATTTCAGAAATTTGTTAAAAACATTTCGAAAACTGTTACGGAAATTTTGAAATCAATATCTTATAACCAAATGATAAACATCAAATCAAGGTTTTGGATTTGTTACTTTAATTATGAAAATTTGAAGATAAAGATCAAAATCAAAATTACTAAAAAAATTCTCCCAAAATCTAACCTTAAAAATATAAATAGTATTTACATATTATGATTTTAACACTAAGCGATTAATTCCTAATTAACTAATGTTTATCCTATAAGTCTTTTAATTCCTATAAAAATTAATGTTTCTAAATACAAAATTATAGAAACACCAACAAGGTCCAATACAAAAAATTACCAAAATAAAAACCCAAAATTACAATTAAAATTTTAAATCTATACTTTCGTTAACTCATCATTTGTATCCTAAAATTTCTCAATGAATAATTTAGTAAAAAGGGTGAACATGACTATGATCAAGAGTTAGTATATGTTTTCTAAAACAAAATTGTCTAAACATTTATTGGGAGATACATTGCTGATTGTAATATATTTTAGTATTTTTATTTTGTAGTAGTTTAAAATGCCGAGGTACTAAACAAAAGTTGATTTGCTATTTATGATCGTTTGCATATATTTAATTGTAAGATATGGGTTCCTTTTTTAAAGGATAAAATATTCACGTTGAATATAAAGACAAAACAATATATCTTTATTAATTATGATTAGCATAAATTTGACTTTAATTATATAATCTATTAAGAAGAACTTGTTAGAAGTTGTAATTTACAAGACATGGAAAATCAAACCATTAAAGATATTACTAATATGAAAAAAATTATACTTAAAAAAATAGTAAATTTGATTGATGGCGTAATTCTGTATTAGTAATCTAGATTATATTAAAATTAATGCTAAAAATAATGAGTGACATAGTTATATTAATAATAAACCTATTCAAGATGAATTAGAGGATTTGATTAGATTGAGAAGTCAGAAATAAATATATATATATATATATATATATATATAAATAGTAATCGAATCTACATCAATATTTGTTTATGAAAAGTTAAAAAAAAACATTTAAAAATAAAAATATGTAAAATAAATTTTGAATTCAAAAATCAATTATATATAAAAAAAATATAAAAATCCACTTTAAAATGAACTATAATTATTTTATCTCTCAAACTAACTAAAATCAATATATATTAAATATTTTTAAAATTAAATATTGTTATTATTAAAAAAATAATATATTTTTAATATTTTGTTGGTATATTATCTCGATACAATTAAACACCGGACTTACATAACTCTTTTACTATAAAATATTTGGTGAACGATACAATTTTTTATTTTTTTATTTTAGTTTAATTATTTCGACAACAACTAAAATAAATTACCTTCAAAATTATTTTTTTATAATTACATAATCAAATTAAAAGTGTATTGACTTAAACAAATGTATATAAAATTTTTAAATAACCAAATTAAAATTACGTTTAAAATTATTTTAATTAAATTTTATATAAATAAATTAAAAAAATTTCTAAAATAATTTTAAACTAATTATTACTAAAATCTTTATTAAATAATACATTTTATTTTTTAATTATAAATTATTACTTGATTATCAAATTAATTTTCACATATATTTTATGTTTATGCACTTGAGAAGGAAAAAAACATGTTTAGTCTAATTATAACCAAAAAAATGCTAGAATTTTTTTTTAAATTGCTAAATATTTAACTTCTCAAAGAAATGGGCTCATATCTACAAAATTACTAACTTGGAAAAAATATTCTTTTTTTTTGTTGAATAGAACATGGGCCCAAGATTTTGTAACGGTAAAAAAAAGAGTGTTTACACGCTGGTTCTTATTGTTGTGAACCAGAATTAGACTACTCTGATACAGAAAAAAAAAAAATTTGAAGTAAAATCAAATAAAACGTCAAAACAAGGAACTCTCGGAGACAAGCAGATGATGAAAGGAATTTTTGGGAATTGTTGGAAATTGTTGGAAATTAAAATATATTTTTCTAAGAAGAGGGACTTAATACTTTTATTCAGGTTTTGTTTAATGATTCCAAAAACAAAACAGAAATAAGGTTTAAGGTTTGATGTATGTTCTACTATTCTTATTTATAGGAAAAGTATCTATAAAAATATAATTTTTTTTAATTATTTTTTTTAGTTTCATCGTTATATAATCGAATGGTATTTTTGATATAGAGAGAAATAAATTTTTTATTTATAAATTTTGTCTTATTTATAAATTTATTTATTTTTCTTCATTCATATAATTCTAATGATTAGACAATTAATCATAAAAAATTTTAGTTTCTCAAAAAGAGAATATTTTTCCAACCAATAAAAATTATTATTTCTTTTATAGTTTTTATGTATTGATCTATTTATTAAATATTTTATCATTTATTCTGAATTAAAAGAAAAAATCGTTTATCTTATTTTCTATCTGTAACATCATAATAGAACTTGTGAGCACCTACAACTGGTGAGAGAGAAAAGTATAGTAATAAAAAATTTAAAAAACAAATTACAATTTACCTATATAAATAAATTATCCAAATAAATTAATATAAAAAATAAAATAAAAATTTAAGTTATATTAATAAAATTAATTTTAATTTTAAATATAATGATTTAATATATAAATTATAAAAAAATATTCATCCATCCTAAAAAGTAAAAGATAGATATTTATTTTTAATTTTATCATTATTTTTTTTAGTAATATAATAATTTAAAATTAATATCTTTGGAATAGGTTAAAATTTTACTTATTATAAAAATAAAAATAAAAATTAAAGATTTTTTTATTATTATTATTTTTTAATTTAATATCCAAAATAATAATTTATTTTAATTATTAGATTATAAAAAAAATGAAGGATGAGAATTTAAGTTACTAAAAAACTTTTTAGATAAATAAATCTCATTTTTTTATATATCTTATTAAGATATTATTTTAATTTATAAAATAATTATTATTTTATAAAATAGATTGTTTGTAGACTTATATAGCAGAAATAATGAAAACTATTATATTAAAATTTTGGATAACATTTTTATTTAAAAAAAAAACATCGTACTACCTAAAAAATATTTAAAAATAAAATAAATAATAAAATAATTGATTTATATGAATTACCCTCGTCCAATTATAAAAAATATTCTTTAAAATTATAATTGATTTTTCTTGATATTTAACGGATGAATTATCTTTAAAAAAAATATATGAATAATTCTTAGTATGGACTAAACCGACTTATTAAAAAATTAATCTTATTCAAATTATACCATATTTACAGTGAAACCTAATTTTAGGATTTAAGTTTAATTTTAAGGTTTAAGGTTTAGGATTTGTCCTCATTGAAAAACTCCAATGATTAGCACAAAACAGGGGATCTCAATATACGTGTTCTTTTCTCTTTAAAAGTGCTTCCTTCAATGCTTCAATATAAATAGAAGTACTCTTCAAATTAAATAATCCTACTATTTTTCTTTTCCTTCTCCTTTTTATTGATTCGATATAATCGTATGATGAACTCTATGAACTATGCTAGCAAGAGTCCAACACGATGCAGCATGCAAGTTACTTCTTGGTTATTCCATGTTAATCACATCATAATTCTCTTTCTATCCATTTTCATCACTTGTGTTTTCCTACCTTCTCTGGGTTGAAAGCACCAGAAAACATGAACTCTCACTAATATCATTAATATAAACACGAAAATTGATTTCTTAATGGAGTTCTGCACACACGAATAATAATATACATTTATACGGTTCTGCCTCAAAGCAAGAAAATAAAATGACCTATATATTTGTAGGGCAAAACACTTACAATCACTCATTCCAACAAACCGATGATGCAGATAGTCAGCTTGCAATTCTACCTCAAATAGTTTCACCGTCATCATCATCTCCAAGTAGAGAGAGAGAAAAAGGTTCAACGGCCACGTTAAATGCTCTTGGACCTACTCGATCAACATGTATCATCTCAAAGTCACCTTCCTGTATTATAGCAGAGAGATTTAAACATCTGGTTTTCTGTTCAATGGGAAGATCAAACTGGCAACCAATGTATTCAGAGCATTAAGAACTGTCAACTGGCGTAATACAGAAGAGAATTTTTTTAATTATTATACATTTTGATCAATTCTTAGTCAATATTCTTATACTTTTATATTGAAAAGCTTTTAAATGCTAAAAAATATAATGAATTCTTATAGAAGAAGAACAAAATCCTACTTGTTTCATTTAAGATTAAATTTACTTGATATGAAAGTATCATAATCTTAACTGCCTTCAACCAAAAGTGTAGAGACTAAAATGTGTTTTTATGTACGTATGTAATTTTGACTGTCAAAATAATACCTGATAAGAGTAGTATTAATCAGGATTTCTCGAATATACTTAATTTTATTAAATTTTTAAACAAATTTGCTTTTTGTTTTAAAAACATTATACCTTTTTTCACTGAGGTATTATATTAATTTCCTATAAATGTTGGGTATTTATTGATCACATGTTTATGTCCACCGTTCATTTCAAAGTTTCTGCTATTTAGGATTTATCTACTCATACCATCTGAACGTCTAATCCATTTATTTGATACACGTGGCATTACCAAACACAATGAACATATTCCAAGGGTACTGCATTCAATTAAGAAACTCAAGCAACTTTAATAGTCTAACTTTTTTTTTAGTACGTTTCTCACCATGTGAGACTATTCCATAGAGGAAAAATAAAGTACAAAAGAAAATTTCTTACCATTCTACCATTTTGTGAGTTTAAAGGGCATGTAGAAGAGAACTCAATACTACTCCTAGGAAATATAGCAGGCTGTTCACCACCAACCCCAATTCCCCTGCAGGTGGAAAGTGAAGAGCAAAAGTTGCAGAGTATAAAAAAAAAATGAAAAAACCAATGAAGCATAAGGAACCTAGGAATAATTAACTTACCAGAAATTTTCAGTTTTTCCATTAGCATCAGTTATAATCCAGTGCCTTCTGAGAAGTTGAACTGGGCGATTTGTGTTATTTGTAATTCTGATTCTATATTCAAAGAAATATACCTCCTCTGTAGGTTGACTTCTGCCCTCTAAATATACACTCTTAACTTGCACCCGAATTCCCTAAACAAGTTGAAAATAAGCTGTGAAAGTCCATTTTTTACTTTGCAATTATGTGATGCCCCACATGAAATATGACTTTATCATTTCTTTCCTTTAGGGTTTATATGAATAAATCTATTTTCAAGTGTGTCTGGATTGGATCAGAGAATATTTCAGGGGAGTAAGTACGTTATCATTATCAAAAGTTCCAATCCCACTTGAAAACCATGGGTTCCATTGATTTTCCATTAATACTCCACTGATGCAGTTGAATTGAAAATAATCCCTGCCGAGATTATGCCAAGAAAGAACTATCTATAGATCACAGCAAAGTAGTAGTTTGCAAAAGCAAGTAGTATTCATACCAAGGTTGTAGCATCACTTGAACATTTTAAGAGAGAATGTGGAGCAATTTCTTTTAGCTGATCACGATATCTAACTGCGTCCTGCATATGCAGAAAAAGAGTAAAACACATTTTATCCTAAAATTAACATATGCAGAAACAGAAATATGCAAAAGACATGTAAAAATCAGAGCCTTCAATCAACACAAAAATCAATCACAACACAACCCTCATGCCTTCATTGCACACCACATTCAGAAAATGGAACATAACATAACATAAACAAACAAGGATCTTAAAAACGATAATTGACCTGAAATCTCTCGTCAGCAACAGCTTCCTTCAACAATTTCCGCAGACGCAGAACAGGAACCTCGTCCTCGAAGCATTTGAGCGAGTCACGAATCCTCGCAGCCTCTTCGTAATGCTACCACCGATTTCAAATTCCACAAAATAAGTAGCCACTTTCCAACACCGAGGAGCCACATCAATGATAAAACATGAAAACATCAATTTTCTTTTCAAACAAAAACACTAACCTCGGACTTTGCCGCTATCTCCATCCGGTGCTTCAAGATCGCGTAGCTGTGACTCGGAGACAAAAACGACCTCGAATTCGACCATCCAGTCTCGTCAATTCCCTCGTTCTGGTTCCTCTTCGAACCGCACGACACAACCACACTCCTCCAATTCCTATGGTTCCTACAATTCACGCTTTGCATCCTCCTCCTCGTACTCCTTTCCTCGGAGTTCGTTAAAACCGGTAACCCCACACCCAGGCACGTCTTCGTGCTCAACAACGACTGCATCATTCTCCTTCAAAATTTTTATCTCAATGAAATCTACAGCTTCAAAATCGAATTAGATTGTAGAAGTAGAACGGAATCAGAATGATTATTACATTTGCCACTTTTATTGCTGTGTGCCACCACGATTTCCGCGTTTTCTTTATTTTAATGATTGGATTGGATTTGCGTTGTTACAACATTTTTTAACGGTTGATCATAGATTAATGTCTGCCTACTATAAATAAATCCTAAATACTAAATATCTGAAAAGTGAAACGCCGAATTAGCCATTGCGTATTTTTGGGGATTTTCGATTTGGGACGAGAAGCACAGAGAGCCTGTGCTTGTTGAGGGTATTATGGGGAAAATGTGGGGAAAATGTAGAAGAATATTGTGCTTTCCTATTATGTTAGATAGTGTGCCTCAACCCATGGTCGTACTCGTAACAAGTGTTTGATTTCCTCTTCCAAAAGTCTCCAATTAAGGCTCGTGCCAAAAGTTATTTGATTTGAAATTTTAACACAAATCCAAACATTTTATAAGTTAATGTTGGCTATGATGGTGCTTATTGTGTGAGAATAACATTTTAGAAGTCTCACTTGCTCATTACTTTTTTTTCTCTCTATATAAAATAAAAGGAACACAGTTTCCATATTATAAATCATTTCAAATATTTTTCTCCTTCTTTTATTAATATTGCATAATAGTTGAGTTTCTTGTTTCTTAAAGAGAATATTATTATTATTATTTATTTAAAGAAAATATTATAATTTTTTTTAGTAAAATTTTATTATTGTTTATTATTGATTTTGTTTCTCTTTTCTCATCTTTTATTTTAGTTGTGAGTTCTTATGTAGTTACTCTAATTCTTAAGAGTGATATTAAAGTATGGTTGGTTTCTTATTTGTCATGTTATTCTGCTAAAATAGTTATTAGAATAGTGTTAGAAAGAATTCTTAATATGTTCTGTATTTGTGGTTAATATGATCTTTTACATAAAAAAAAAAAAGTTATTTTAGTTACTGGATATAAAGTATGGTAATGTGATAATGCATGTCTAGGAAAAGTTCTGATAAAGAAAGACTTAGTATTTAAGCGATGAAAGCAATGAGGTGGATATTGATGGTAATGTGAAACATGTCCCTACATTTCCAAGAGATGATTTTGACGATGATTCAAGTCAACAACATTCAAGACTCAAGCAAGTCCAAGATATGATTTTGATAAAGATTTAATTCAAATCATTCAAGATTCAAACAAGCCCAAGATGATTCCTAAAGACTAGCTAGAGTCTTAAAGTACTGGATATGAAGATACAAGTTGATGAAGTGGTATTATAGGTCTCCAAAGCACAAGTGTGATAAAATTTCGTAACATGACATTTTTCCCTATCATAATCGATTATAATGCATCAGAAATGGAAAAACGATTTTCTCTTTGTCATAATCGATTATATTGGTAACATAATCGATTATGACAATTTAAATTTGAAAAATATATCCATTTTTTAAGAATAAATGTTTTTTAATACATCCCGATTTTTTTCTACGAAATTATTAATTACCAAACGGCTATTTTCTGATGTTATTTTCCTATTTAAATGAGTTTTGATGAAAAATCAAATATATACAATTACAAAATTCGAAATTCAATTTACATTCAATCAATTTTGAGAAAATAATTTTGAGCAAGACAACAAAGCACTTTTAGGTTTTTTGAGAAAAAAATTTCATATTGTCTTATGCGTTTTCATTGTTAATCGCACTGTGTTCTTAGAGTTCTCATTCTATAGGTTTCTATCAATTTGTTGTCTTCATCCTTTGTGGGTTTAGGTGGTTGCTATTATTTTATTGTCTTAATCCCCCTTTTATGACTAAGGTGGTTGATGTTAAATTCCCTTTTTAGGGTTTAGGCTGTTAGCTTTTATTTTATTGCCTTCATCCTTTGTGGGTTTAGGTGTGCATATTGTTTCTTGAGCAGTGTGTCTGTGTTTGGAGTTTCTACTGTCATCCGTTTGATTTGTTTAGAGGAGGAGCTCATCCTTAGTGGGATTCTAAGGAGGTGTTTTCATCCTTAGTGGGATTCTAAGGAGGCGTTTTCATCCCTTTAATTTGTTCGGAGAGGTGTTCATCCTTTGTGTGTTGGTTGCAAAAGAGGTGTTTTCCATCCTTTGATTTGTTCAGAGGAAGTGTTTGTGACACCTTTAATACCAACATTCACTTTATTATGATTTATTAATTATTATTGGCTCCTCTTAGTATTTGATTACCAATACACTCTTGTAGAAGTAAGGTACACAATAATTAGAACATACAATTAGTGATTAATATACATATCATTCATAAGTATCAAGTATAACTAGATAGTAAATATACACAAAGTCATCCCAAAATACACCTAACAAGGGTTCACAAGACCAGAGCAGACAAACTAACTATACAACCTAACTAAAGAGGAGATATATTTCGTACGTCCACTAAAATGAAGTATCTCTTGTAGCACTGTAGTGGTGTCCGATCAAGTCCTCTACTTAGTACTTGCAGTGATCGTATTTAAACTTTACTTGGAGATGATATCGGGGATGAGTTGTGTTCAACGTCACCTATGCAAACATTTCATAATAACAATACATGCACAAAAAGGGTAAGACAACTTTATATTCACTTAGAGCATGCAAATAACATTGGGTTAATTACAAATTTCACATACAAACATACTAACAATCAGCACACAAATGATATGATATTATGAATGCAATGTATCCACTAATCTTTTCTAGGACACATCCCAGTATGCAAGACCATGGGGATCCCAAAACCACTTTCTCTTTTCTCTTTTTTTTTTTTCGAGAAGGATCAGGAGTTTCACTGGAACCTCTCACCGCCTCGCGGTAGTATACTCATAATTACTTGTCCAACTCAACTGATCATGAGAAACCCTGGGGCTTTAGTCAGGATAATCAAGCTTGGTAGTGAGAGTCTCACAGCTTAGGTAGCGAGTCTGAGCCACATATGAGCTCGATCACACTCAATCATCCCCGAGGTTAGCATGGAACCGACCCTGATTTTCCATATCCTCCTCATACACTAAATCTCTGACTCATGAACATGATGCATGACTTATCATAACTTTTTCACACTCTTTCAACTTTGTTTCACCTCATTATACTTAAATCACATCTTAACTTCTTCAAAATAATACTAGGTTATTTCTTAAAAAAATCGACGAGTTTCCTCGTAAATCGGACATTCCCAAAAATTTTTAACACCTGCAAAATAATCAAAAACAATTTCGAACACTTCTACTTTTCACCAAACCATCCTTCCACCTCATCATATTCATCATCACCCAAAATCATAATTTTCTCAATTTTAATTTATTTTTCTTAAATAATAATAATAATAATTGCAAATAATTTCCTCAAAATTATTAAAAATTCATTTTTACTTACAATTAATTGTTTTCTCCTAAATCAAAATTATTCCAATACTTTTGAAAAATATTTATTAATTAAATAAAAATATAAAATTCACTTCATAATTAAATTGTAAATTCAATTTAATATATCTAAAAAATAGTTTTCTTTCTCACATAGTTCATTTCTCACACCTTTCTTCCATTCCACCAAATTATACAATGCAATTCTACATGCTAATCCATCTTAACAAAAACATTTCACAATAATTTTTTACTTATCATGCTTCATAACATACATACAATATATCTCAATAATCAATTTAAAACAATTATCATAATATTAAACATAGAAATATGATAATTCTCAAACTAAATTCATCAATAAATCATATAAAATTACTAATGATTAAGCAATTGATTCAAACAATATTCATAGATGCCTTATAATCATACAAGGTTCCATACACTCAAGTTGTTCCATTTAGAAGCCATAAAATTCACATAATCTTAAAATTTTAAAAATTCATCAAAAATAGAAATAACATTCAAATAATTCCAAATAAATTTCTAATTAACTTAGAAGTAAAGGGACTTCTTCTCAATTCTATTTCAAGCAAAAGTGAATTATAAAACTTATCCTACCCCTTACTTTATGTTGTAACTTGGTGAAGAGTAACTCTTGATCAAATAATCTATCAAGTCTTTGGGTCTCCTCTTTGCACTTCTAAGTAGCCTCCTACATGCCAATTAAATACTCCAATTAAATCCTTAATTCCAACCATATTAGACCTCTAAAATCTCACCTCCTTCATAGCCTAAAATTCTAAAATTCAAGACTATGGTTCTTTGAGTTATAAAATCATTTCTAGGGCCTAAATTGATGCTAATGGAATTAATACAAGTAGAAGAGAGTAATGAAAGTAATACACTTAGAGTAGGAAGAATCCTAATAATAAATATGGACAATGTTCAGTATTTCAGAATTTTCTAGAGTTATATAAGCTGTTTTGGCATGAGGTCAGAGCCAAAATTTCAATAACTTAATTACCTACAATATTGATGAAGGAAATAAATTCAAATACCCTGTAGAATAAATGCAGCTTTTCAGTTTACAGTGGTTGTTTCCAACATGGCTCAACTACAATAACACTCTGAACATGCCTTGGTAATTTGACCATAACTCATGCTACACATAAGCTATTGACATGAAACAAATTTCTAAATTTCGGAAATATAATTTCCTACAACTTTTATGAAGTAATCAAGTCCTAATTTCACACGTATCAATCCCAGTAATTCAATAACCGAGGCTGTTGAAACAACCTCTTAACTTCACAATTATAACACTTGACAGTAAAATAGACATAACTTGAGCTACAAATATCCTTTTGATGTGAAACAAGTTTCTAAATTTCGATAACTTAAAGGGCTACAACTTTTATGAAGATACCAATTCTTAATTCTTTTCACACAAGTCCCAAAATTTAATGAACAGTGACTTACGAATTAGGGTGCTTAAGATTTTTAGCTTAATCACTTCTAATCCTCAATTCCAAGTATTATTCTAGTATCCTAGGTGTAAAACCTACAATAACACTCTTTCTACT